TCACCGGACTTGCCGCGCTGGCCGACGCCGTGATGGAGGTGACCACTCCATCGGTCGCCAATGTTACCGTGGCTCCACAGCAACCAACAGCTCTGGACTCTGGATCGGCCGCTAACAGCCAGCCTCCCCAGGCCAACATCGAGCAGCTTAGCCAACGTTTGGAGGAGATCGTCGTCGCAGCTACACGAGGCCGCACCCCGCACCCTCGTGAGTCACATCGAAGACGTTCGACGTCTCGTCGGGCACGCGGCGAATCGACATCTCGTCGGACACGCGGCGAAAACACGCGATCACCGATCCCTGCCGGGGTCTGCTACTACCACCGCCGCTTCGGTGCCAACGCCCGGCATTGCCTTCGCCCCTGCTCATGGCAGGGAAACAGGCCGGCCGACCTCTAGAGGCGACGAGTGGTCAGGGCCCCGACGAAAGTCGCCTTTTCTACGTGTGTGACCGAGCCACCAAGAACCGGTACCTCGTTGACACCGGAGCCGAGATCAGCGCAGTTCCAGCAACGCGTGCCGACCGTTCCTTGACACCGATCTATTTTCTGCGCGCAGTGAACAACAGCGCCATCCCAGTCTACCGAGAACGGTCGATCACCCTTAACCTCGGCCTCCGGCGGGTTTTCCGGTGGATCTTCCTGGTGGCCGACGTCAGTCAAGGAATTCTCGGCGCGGACTTTCTCAACCACTACAAACTCCTCGTGGATGTTAGAAGCAGGCGACTGATAGACTCCACCACGCGACTTTCCATCCATGGTATCGCAACGGACGACAATTCAGTCTACACCTCTGCCTGCACGATCCCGGAAGAAGCGTTCAAGACTTCGCTGAGTAAGTTTCCGAGCCTTACTCAGTCACCTGATTGGACCAAACCCGTCTCGCACGACGTGCAACACCACATCGTGACGACAGGACCACCTGTTTACTGTCGTCCCCGCCGTCTAGCCCCAGAGAAACTCCGCGATGCTCGCCAAGAGTTTGAACACATGTTGGACCTTGGCATCATCCGACCCTCGTCTAGCAGCTGGGCGTCTCCATTACACATGGTGTCGAAGAAAAATGGAGACTGGCGGCCGTGTGGCGATTATCGTGCCCTAAATAAGAACACTGTACCGGACAGGTATCCTCTACCTAACATCCAGGATTTTACGGTGAACCTACAAGGCGCGAAGGTCTTCTCCAAAATCGATCTGACGCGGGCCTACCACCAAATTCCCGTGGCCGAAGAAGATATCCCGAAAACAGCGATCACGACACCGTTTGGACTTTTTGAATTTCTCCGCATGCCCTTTGGCCTCAGAAATGCGGCTCAGTCATTCCAACGGTTCATCGACGCTGTCACACGAGGATTACCTTTTGTCTTCGCGTACGTAGACGATTTGCTCATAGCCAGCAAGTCACCGGAAGAGCACACGACCCACTTAGACCTCCTCTTCGAACGACTGCGCAGCCACGGCATTGTCATCAACGCCGCGAAAAGTGTGTTCGGAGTTCCGGAATTGGAATTTCTTGGTCATCGGCTTGACTCCTCGGGCATCCGTCCATTGCCATCAAAGGTACAGGCCATCAAAGATTTCCCGAGGCCGACTTCCACCACCAAACTTCGCCAGTTTCTCGGTTTGGTCAATTTTTACCGACGTTTCGTTCCGAACTGCGCCAAACTGCTCGAACATCTTGAGGTCCTTCTAACAAAACAAGAGCGAAAAAAGTCGTCCCTTATTTGGAACGAAGATGCGGAACGCGCTTTCGGCGAGGTAAAGAACTTACTGGCAGAAGCAACAATGCTAGTACATCCTAAGCATGATGCCCCAACATCGCTGATGACCGACGCATCTGCCACAGCCGTAGGAGCGGTGCTACAACAAAAAGTCGACGGAGAGTGGCGGCCGATTGGTTTCTTTTCTAAGAAGCTCAAGCCAGCGCAAACGCGCTACAGCGTTTTCGGACGTGAACTCTTGGCTGCCTACTTGGCTGTACGACACTTTCGACATTTCGTCGAGGGACGGCCATTTACCATATGGACTGACCACAAGCCCCTAACTTACGCCATCAGCAATGCCGGCTCTCATTACACACCACGTGAGATTCGCCAGCTAGCCTTCTTGGCCGAATTCACAACGGACATTCGGCACGTTAAAGGAGTTGACAACGTCCCCGCTGATGTCCTCAGCCGGATCGACGCCGTGAACACCCCAGCCTGTTCTGCTGTAGACTTGGAGTTGCTGGCTCGTCTACAGACCACCGACGAAGAATTGCAAGCCCTGCGCAGTTCATCCACGTCACTGCAACTGCGGGATGTAAGCTTTCCAGAAGGCACCACCGTGATCTGCGACCTGTCAACGGGAACGCCTAGGCCTTTTGTACCACGTGAACTGCGACGACAGCTTTTCGAAGCGATTCACTGCTTGTCGCACCCGGGTATACGAGCATCCCAGAAGCTCCTGTGCGACCGCTACGTTTGGCCCCGGATAAAATCCGACGTTCGTGATTGGGTGCGTTCCTGCATCGCATGCCAGTGCGCGAAAGTACAGCGGCATCCGGTGCCACCAAGTCGACAATTCCTACAGCCTGACAGCCGTTTCAACAAGATCCATCTGGACCTAGTAGGACCCCTACCGATTTCTCAGGGACAGCGCTACATCCTAACGTGTGTCGACAGATTCACACGATGGCCAGAAGCAACCCCACTGCCCGATATCACCGCCGCCACTGTCGCTGAGGCGTTTATCGTTACGTGGGTATCCCGGTTTGGCTGCCCCTCAGAGATTGTCACCGACAGGGGTCGACAATTCGAGTCGGCACTCTTTGCCGAGCTCACTCGATTGCTCGGAACCAACCGCTTGAGAACGACTGCCTACCACCCACAGTCGAACGGGATGGTAGAACGATTTCATCGACATTTGAAATCGGCCCTTGCAGCTCAGGGTGGTCCCTCGGATTGGGTTCGTCATCTCCCCCTTGTGCTTCTTGGAATCCGGACAGCCTTGAAGGCGGACATCGGATGCTCCACCGCCGAGCTGGTGTACGGCACTGCACTTCGCTTGCCATCAGATTTTTTTGAAGTGGAACTGCCTCAACAACAAAGGCAGTTGGACTATGTAGAACAACTCAAGCAAATTTTTATCAATTTGCGACCGGTGCCTACACGGCAAGGAACTTCAAAGTCTCCCTACGTGACCCAGGACCTCCAAGACGCCACTCATGTTTTCGTACGACAATCGCAAAAGAAGCCACTGCGCCCACATTACATCGGACCTTTTCCAGTGGTCGAAAAGAGAAGCGACACGTTTGTCCTGCGTGTCAACGGCAAGAATGACACCGTTGCATTGGAGAGACTAAAGCCGGCACATATTGAGCAAGAGCATGTGCAGGGAATAGCGCTACGTGACATCGACCAGACGACAGAGAAAAGCCAACTTCGTTGGCACTCGAATGTTTCTGTGCTTTGATCGTTCGTCCTACCTCCTCTCTAAGGGGGGGCATATCTGTAGGGACTGGACGCACCGACAAGCGAGTCCAGTCTCGACACAGGAAAAAAGAGAAAAAGAGACGCGCGCGCTAGCTATACGCTCACGCGCTCACGCGCTCACGAAGAGCAGTTCCTGCCGAGACACCACTGAAATAGAACGTTGTTTTGGAACGTCCGTCTCCTGCCTGTTTCTTTCACCACAATATATATATATATATATATATATATATATATATATATATATATATATAATAACCAACGAAAAAAAAAGACTTCCCAGTTTGGCACGGATGAAAATCAGCCGGTAAAACATGCGCCTACTCGTAACAAAGAAAAAAAAAAAGGTACAAGAAATTACGAAGAGATAAAACGAGGTCAGACTCGCGGTGGCAATCCATCAGAATCCATCATCATCGCACGATGGATAGCGTTGAGATGTATTGCACGGCGTATGCTTCGCCTCGTAGTACCGGAGCTAGCAGGCAAAGGAGACGCGGCGGGAGGGAAGGGGAGCGGGACTGGTTCGTGCACCACGAAGCCTGGAACACGGACCTTATTTTATGTTTTTCTGCGCTGTTATTATTAATTTTTGGAACATCGTCATCACGATTACGAATGAGGTTTTCTCCCGTGAGTAAATCGTGGAATGAACAAGCGACAGCGAGAGAACGCACGCGCAGTGGCAGATAAATATTTGCCAGTGAATGAACGGGAAATTTGTCTTAAAAGTCGTTCTGGCGACTCGTAAAGCCACGTGAAAGAAGGCGAGAGTAGCTCAGTAAATCGCATGTCACGAAACCGCGTGTGAAATAACACCCGGCAGTTTCGTGAAAAAAGAGAGAGAGAGAGAGAGAGAGAGAGAGAGAGTGTGCGTGTGTGTGTGTGTGCGTGCGTGTGTGTGTGCGTGCGTGTGTGTGTGTGTGTGTGTGTGTGTGTGTGTGTGTGTGTGTGTGTGTGTGTGTGTGAGAGAGAGGGGGGAGGGAGGGGGGAAGGTTGGTGTCAATGAGTGCTCGATACAGGCCATCTCCACGCTTTGGCGTAACTAGCCGCGATTTTCATAGTCTCCTAATCACTGAAAGACAAGTAAGTCTCCAATTAGTTTTACGAGCTTCCCGTTGTGTCCGAGCATGTGCAGTGTGAAATATCGTGCGCCGTGCATGCGACCATAGCCCAGTCGCTGCGCATCCTTCACCAGGGTGATAAGCGATGAAAATGTATATAGACTAAACACTATTATAACTTTTACTGGCATTGTTGGTTTTGAAAAATAAAATGCAACGCATTGTTTCATGTTGTTTTGCCTCGTACCTTGAATGTGACCTTTGCTGAAAATGATGCGCATTGTACCAGTGAGGCACAATCCACGAAAATCTTTGACCATGCAGGACCAAAGCCCGGTTATTTGGTAGACGTCCTATTAGCACGGAAACCCTGCCACGCTTATACCTTCGTTTAGTCCTATCCTCTGCTCTACAGGGGTGGTCCCTGACAACGAGAGCAAATAAATATAAAAGCGTGACGAGACTCACCCGAGGAGAAGTGGTGAAGAGGCACGTGCTTGGTGATGGACTCGACCACGTCGTGCAGTCCGTACATGCTGAGCAGTTCTTTCATCGTGTTCTCGGCGTAGTCCTTCATCAAGCTCGCGTCGGCCGCCCGATGCTGATGTTGATGCTGCTGCTGCGGCAGCGGATGTTGCTGTGGCTGCTGTGACTGATGATGATGGTGGTGGTGATGTTGATGATGCATATGATGATGTCGCGCACCTGGCGTGTTCGCCGTCGTCACAAACGGAGAGCTAGCACCGTCTCCCGACGGCCGCACCAGGAGCGGCTGCGGAGACGACGGTAGCGAAGACGACCTCTCTTCGGACTCCTTGAGCCCCATCGTGCCGGTCGTCGACTCGTCCTCGTCGCTCCTCCGGTTCCCGCTGAGGTCCACCACGACTGCAGGAAACCCACCCCGTCTCGAGGACGGCACAACACCAGAGCCCCCAGCGCTCTCCGTCGTCACGCTGTTCAAGACGACCCGTTTGACGGGCTGCGACTTGCGGCGCATCGACCCGGCGTCGCTCAAGTCCAGGGGTCCTTCTTCGCGACCTGCCGCAGGCGTCTGCGGGGCACCACCTTCGGCAGCGACCGGGGACAACGGCGCCGTCGTCGTCGACCGCTTGAAGCGCATCGACGCGACGACCGTCGCCTCGTCATCGCCGACTAGGTCGACTGCGTCGCGTTCGGACGGCAATCGAGACTCCGAGGGCACCTCTTCGTCTTCGTCCTCTTCTTCGTCCGAGTCGGCGAACACAGCCGCCGCGATGTTTTTCGGCTGAAAGTTCTTCCTCTTGTTCCGCATGCGTCCGTCCAAGGCACTGTCGGTGTCCGGCCAGGCGCAAGGCACTTCGCCGCCGAAGCCGGCGCTCGCGACGGTGGTCCCTCGGCTGCCACCGCCGCCTTCTTGTTCGTTGTCGGAGTGGTTCGTTAAGGCCCCGTTCAAGGCCCCCGATTCGTCGTCCTCATCTTCCTCCTCTTCGCCGAAGTCGTCGTCCTCGTCGTCTTCTAGCGCGGTCGTGCCGCCGCTGGCCGGGTCCTGTGAGGTCGGCGGCGGCGCCCGGGGCGACGAGGAGGAACCGCGGCCGGTGGCCACGTCATCGGGCGTCACGTCGTCGGCGGCGGAGGTGTCGTCCCCACTGGCGGCTGCCATGAGGTCCGGCGTGTCGTCTGGGCCCCGGGCGAGCTTCTCGCAGATGGCGTTCAGCTTGAAGGCACTGCTGGGAGGTCGGCAGGCCGCTTCCGACGTCATGTCGCCCGGCTGGCGGGCGTGTTACCTGCTGCTGTCAGCCCTGCACGAAAAGAGGACCACACGTGAGCCATAGGCATCCCTCATACAGAAACAGTCTGACTTGGTAAGAATGGTTAAACTCAGTCAGATCATCATTTCCAGAGCTTGTGGGGCATTCCCTACCACGGTTAACTGCGAAGCGAAGGGGCCTTGAAAAATCGGCGCGTTCTTGTCGACTCGCATGGAGCTTTCCTAGGCAATTATGTTTTTCGCGTCGGCATTAGACATGCTCGACAAATGTGACGTCGCCGAAGAACTGTCTGGCGGCTAAATGCAAGCGATTCAGAAGGCTGTCGCCGCCAACATGGCTAATGAGGAGAGAAAATCGAACAGCGCAAACTGATCGATGGAGTTCGTATCGACCACCCAAATTAACCGTACCACTCTGCAAGACATCTGTGGCGTAGGAGAGGTTGCGAGCGAAACCCGGTGGCGTCCCGTCATCGAGTTATCCAGACTCTGTAAAACATTCATAGTAAATTCTCTCCGCGCTCTCACTCTCAAAAGTAGGGTGTGTAGTACTTACACCCCTTGTCCCATGTAATATAAAAACCCCAAAACTACAATTCGACGTTTAGTCCACTGATGTTAAGCCGACGATACCAACTCTCAAGACCGGCTTGATAGTGGAGTGATATAACTTATTAAAATGTATAAGAACTACGGGAAAACACTCAAAGTTTTGTTGGCCTAGCTGCTAAATCTCTGTTCATTTTATTTTTTTGTAATCTTTGATGCATGCATACATTAGTTATTTAGTAAGCTATATCACACAGCTATCAAGACGCTCGTAAAAGTTGGTGTTGTCAGTTCGACGTCAGCGTACTGAACGTCAAAATGTCGTTTTGGGGGGTTATATATGGGACTAAAGGTTCAAGTACTACATCCCCTATTTCTGAGAGTGCAGGCCTGGAAGCAGAACTCCGGTGAACCACATTTTTTATCATGCGCACGTTTTTCACTATGCGCACGTGTCGCTGCTGTCTGCTTTTGTTGAAGAAAGCAGTACATTACTGCTTAAAGCAAAGGTTTGGGCGCTGCATGAAATTGCAAGGAAAGTTTATCGCTGTATTGTGAGGGCGCTAAAGCGGCGGGTCAGGAAAACGCAAACTCGCTCTGCGGCCATCTCGGCTCGGTTGGGTCTTTCTTGTTCGCCGCAGCCAGATAGTTGCTGTTTCCAGAGCCGACTACGTTGCCGCGCATACGTCAGTGACCGCAGAGCGCGTGACTCTACTCGAAGAAATCGCGACTGAGGCGAGAAGAACGAGACAATTAACCATAGTCAGAAAACGCTTAAGGCAACATCATCACTCCGAGCAAAACTCGCTGTCATTTGCCCTCCGCTTCATTTATATCCCCGGCCAATTTCTTTCAGAAACGGCTAGCTTCGAAACGGTTGAGGAACGACACGCATCCTCCAATCACGTCGAAAAGGGACTACGAAGCAACAGGGGATCGCAGAAACAACAACAGCAAAAACCCGGCACAACGCGGGAAGCAAGGCACATTCGGAACTGAAAACCATGCGCTCGAAAACCAGCCCGAAAACGTGGCCCAAAACGCGGCGCATCGCGAAGGTCACGCGCGGTCTTCTTCTTATCGGCGCACCAATTACGTGCGGCAGCAGCAATAATCGAACCAAGTAGACGAACAAAAGGAAACGTCTCTCCAAAATAAAACCAGTAACATTTTTTCTTTTCTTTTCTTTTTTCGCCGATGACTTCGAATCTGCGCGCACGACGTAACAAGTAGAAGCACACGCTCGACGATCGTCGCTCCGGAGCGTTGCATGCAGGAGCTGCGGCGGCGTCTTGACTTCTCCGGTCGTGTGCGCCCCGCATCCCTCGAGTCGTGCCTTGGCCTAATCACGAGCTCCTCGTCGTAATGACACCCGTCCCTTTCAGAAACGGTTCGTGCCGGGCTCCAGAGACATCTGAGCTTCGCCAGAGAGGCGAGCCATTACGCGCATAGGAGGAAGGGGTCGGATCAGCGTAAACGACTCGTGGTTCTGTGCGTGCATCGTATCCCCACTTCTGCAGAGAGGCACGCCTTCATTGTACCCCTCTCTCCCTCTTCAAAAACCGACGCATCGATACATGTTGCCGGTAACAAAGTGAACGATTGTCCCTTGTGAGGAAGGATGTGTTTTTGCCAATTGAAGCTCTCGGGGGGAAGATACTTCAAGAACTGCGAACGATCTCTCACCTGCTCACTATTTCCTCAACTATTCTTCGTTCGTTTGGTGAAGAAGGTTTCAGGAGGACAACGACAGATACCCATGTAGTACATGGCTGCTGGCAGGTATAGAGGGACAAAGAGGGCTGTCAGCTGCTTAGCCTCCAGCGCGAGCTTGATACCTTCCATAACACTTTGTGGTCTCGTGAGCCTGAGCGCGCTGCCGGAGCACGACGGAGCGATAAGTGCACGTGCTGAAAGCTACACCATACGGAAACATACGACATTAAATGAAAACGTTTTATAAAAATTTCGTGAGAAAATGTAACGGAGATACAGATTTCTGCCATATCTCCAGCTATCGGATCGAGCAAGTGTCAGCCATTTTATTGTGCAGAGATGATGAATCTCTGCACATCACATGTTCCAGGGTCATGGTCGAGTGCTCGAGATTACACAGCAGCATGTCATGCAACAGGGTTCGATAGACATCCCGGGTGCACCCTCATAACACCAGTGGTTCGCACCGAATTGTCGTGACGTCACGCTTGCGTCACGCACACGTCATCGAAACCAGTCCGGGCGACGACCGCCTGGTGCACGACCCTCGGGCCTTCGTAGAAGAGCAAAAAAATGACGGGAAAAATAAAAAAAAACAAAAAAAACTGGGACTTTTTTTTTTTTTTTTTTTTTCTCCACTCGCGTTCTGTTTTACGACGAAAAGAGCGCGCACTCTCCTATCCTGGAGTGCTTATCTTCACTTTTTTCCCCCTTCTTTCCAAGAAATCATCTTCTCTTTTCCATCTACGGGGTGAGCACTTGACGCTTTGAAAGCGGGCGATTAAGCGACACTAAATTGGACACCGACGCCATTAAACGGCGTCAATAAACTCCAAACCATAACAAATAGTCCGAAAAGAAAGAAAAAAAACGCGCCAGACATTTGACTTAAAGCATTCCAAGACGCTGAAAAAGACTCCGGAGCGCTATCTGTTCTAAGAGAAGCAGCAAACAACATTTCGCCACTCAGCCCGCCCTTGTGCCCGGAACAGAGCGACTGGCTTCAATTAGCCGGACTTAGCACGCCTTGCTTTGCGAGAACCGCAAGGGAACAAAAAGAAAGAAAGCACCCGAGGACTGTTCAAAAACCCTTTTGGGGCGTTAAAAAAAAAAAAAAAAAAAAAAAGACAGAAGAAGAAGGGAGTGCAAGACAAAAGAGAGAGGCGGCAAATTATTAAAATTAATGAACCGTCTTTTGCGGTGCCGGGTAATTAAATTGAAGTGTCGCACTTATGGTAACCGCGTATGAGCGTGAATACGTGACCACGGGAGGCTCACTGCAGGTTTCGCGCCTCAAGCAGAGCCTGCGGGGAAAGACAGCTATAGCTTTGAAGGGGTAAACGAGGAAGGAAGGAAGGTCCCCACTCCGTTCCCTGCACGATGGCCCGCCACGGACGCTACCACCCACCTCAGCCAATCCAGGACTGGAAACGCACCACGTGACCTCGCACCCCGCGCACCGCCGAGCCCCGTGGGAAAAACACGACAGGCACTCGGCGCTCGAATGGCTGTGCTATACGTTGCGTCCGCCGCGGTGCATCGTATGCGGAAGAGAAGCCCTCGGGTAGCGCCTGCAGGCTGTCTCTTCGTTCCTTCGGAGCGTTCGGCAATTTGTCCTTTACCTGCAGGTGTACAGCCCTGGGATTTGCATTCTTAGATATGTGTTTTTATTCTTTCATCGGGGTATATAGCGAGGCTCTGCAGTTGATAACAGCGCCTGCATAATGTAGCGAGCCCCGAGCTACCGCCTTGGGTGGTGGTAGCTCCGGGCTCGCTACTGGACCGTGTGGAAATTACGGGGTAATTAACGGCTAGTTAGCGCGCTAACCGCGCTTTAAAGCGAAGGATTGCGTAACAAATAATCTTCAAGGAACGAGAGGAGATCGTAGGTGGGGCTGGCGGGAGGCGTAGAAGCGATGTCATGCACCACCCCGCTGCGTTTCTGAAAGGACGCGAAGAAAATCGAACAAGCCGAGGCGGGAGGAGTTCTCGCGAACAACACGCCCATTCAATAAACGCGAGGATAAGCCGCCGAACGTGTACCACGTGAACGCATATTCGAACCGCTCTTAAACGCGTACGAGCATGACGCGAACAAAAATGCTGCCGTAAGTCGACTTCCGTGAAAACACATTCGGAACCCCCGAAATCTTTTTTTGCCGCATAGCACCTTGTTGGCGTTATAAATACGGTGTAGAGTTTTTATGCGTCTTCGGTAGCGACAGTGTACTGGAAGTTCGTGAATGAAACATAACATAAAAAAAATTGTGTGCCAGAAAGTGTACCAGAAAAAGTCTGTGCGTGCGGGAAAAAAGGGGGGGGGGGGGGGTGCAATTCTTGTGATGGGCTGTGAAGCTTCGCGATTGGAACCACGTCGTTGTTGTCGATTTGTATGCAGAAACCGCCTTGTTGGGACGGCAGGTCCCCCAGCCTCAAGTTTTCTGCTAAAGAAATTTATATAAAAAAAAAAAAAACTATATTTCGTTTCATTTTAAGTCCAAACGCCATCAAAGCTACAACATGATGGGACCAATCAAACAGCGACGCAAAAAACGCTACGACATGATGGGATTAATCAGGCAGAGCCCATCATGGCGTTCGTCATGTTTCTGTACGTGCCCTATCATCGCTGAACCAATAATAATGAACAGGCCTAATGACTTGCGCTTTTGAAGCCTTTTGATTTGTCCCATTAGCTCGTAGTATAACCTGCGTCGGGACTTAGGTTGAAACGAAGTTAAAACCATCCTTCACGCGATTAGAATG